TGGGGAGAGGGCCAGGGGGTTTGGGAGAGTGCCGGGGGGTTGGGGACAGTGCCACAGGGCTGGGGACATGGCCAGGGGGCTGGGGACAGTGCCAGGGGGCTGGGGACAGTGCCACGGGGTTTGGGACAGTGCCAGGGATCAGCCATCCATGGTGGGGCTGGGGACAGTGCCAGGGGGCTGGGGACAGTGCCAGGGGGCTGGGGACACGGCAAGGGGCTGGGGACATTTCTGGGGTCAGTTCTGGGGTCAGTTCTGGGGACACGGCCATGGTGGCCTTGGGGACATGGCCGTGGTGGCCTTGGGGACATGGCCACGGTGGCCTTGGGGACACAGCCATGGTGGCCTTGGGGACACGGCCGTGGTGGCCTTGGGGACATGGCCATGGTGGCCTTGGGGACACGGCCGTGGTGGCCTTGGGGACATGGCCGTAGTGGCCTTGGGGACACAGCCATGGTGGCCTTGGGGACACGGCCGTGGTGGCCACAAGGACTCATTAACGGGGACCGTGGGGACCCAACGACAGCAGCCATGGGGGTGGTGACCCAGGGGTGACCCCCCGGTGACCCCCCGGTGGTGACCCCCCGGCGGTGACCCCCCTGTGACCTCGCTGTCACCCCCGGTGTCCCCTCAGGGCCAAGTGGCTGACAGAGCCCAACGAGGACGCCGAGGAGCTGTTCCGCATGGTGGGCGAGGTCTTCATCTACTGGTCCAAGTCTCACGTGAGTGGGGGTCCGGGGGGGGGGGGCACCGAGGGGTCCCAGGGGGCCTTTGGGGGGGTCCCTGACCCCCTCTCTGTGTCCCCCCACCCCAGAACTTCAAGCGAGAGGAGCAGAACTTCGTGGTGCAGAACGAGATCAACAACATGTCCTTCCTGACGGCCGACAGCAAGAGCAAGATGGCCAAGGTGGGCTGGGGGACCCCAAAACTGCCCCTGCACCCCCTGCCCACCTGACCCCCAACCCCCCCCGGAGCCCTGGAACCACCCCACACACAGCTGGGACCCCCAGATCACCCCAAATCCCACCTGGGAGCCCTCATTCACCCCAAACCCACCTCAAACCTTTAATTCACCCCAAAATCCCACCTTGATTGACCCCCAAATCCCACCTTGGACCCCCAATTCACCCCAAAATCCCACCTTGATTGACCTCCAAATCCCACCTTGAACCCCCATTTCACCCCAAAATCCCACATTGGACCCCTAATTCACCCCAAATCCCACCTTGGAGCCCCAATTCACCCCAAACCCACCTCAAACCCCTCATTCACCCCAAAATCCCACCTTGGAGCCCTAATTTACCCCCGGGGGCCCCCTGGGGGCCCCCGGGGGCCCCCGGGGCCCCCCAAAAACCCCCCCCCCCCGGAACCCACAAACATCTCCTGGGGTTGGGAACATGGTGCTGGCCAAGGGTGGCCGCTGTGCTGTGGTGGGTGCCAGGGGACACCTGGGGACACCTGAGGACACCTGGGGGACACCTGGGACCCCCCAGAAACCCCCCCGGAACCCACAGATGTCCCCAGGGTTTAGGGACAAACCCCTGGGGTTGGGGACATGGGCCATTACGTCCTGGTGGGTGCCAGGGGACACCTGGGGACACCTGGGGACACCTGGGACCCACAGATGTCCCCAGGGTTTAGGGACAAACCCCTGGGGTTGGGGACATGGGCCATTACGTCCTGGTGGGTGCCAGGGGACACCTGGGGACACCTGGGACCCACAGATGTCCCCAGGGTTTAGGGACAAAGCCCAGGGTTAGGGACATGGCCACCGAACCTTGGTGGGTGGCCGGGGACAGCTTGGGGACAAGCCCAGGGTTTGGGGACACCCCCCAAGGGTTTGGGGAGCCTTGCTGAGGTGTCCCCTGTGTCCCCCCCTGCAGAAGGACACGGACGAGGAGGTTCGGGAGTTCCTGCACAACAACCTGCACCTGCAGGACAAGGTGAGCTGGCACGGCCCCCGCGTCACCGTGTCCCCTGCTGTGCCACCGTGTCCCCAGTGTGTCATCGTGTCCTTGGTGCCACCGTGTCCCCAGTGTGCCACGGTGTCTTCAGTGTCACTGTGTCCCCAGTGTGTCACCGTGTCCTTGGTGCCACCGTGTCCCCTCCTGTGCCACTGTGTCCCCAGTGTGTCACCATGTCCCCAGTGTGTCACCGTGTCCCCTGCTGTGCCACCGTGTCTTCAGTGCCACCGTGTCCCCTCCTGTGTCACCATGTCCCCAGTGTGTCACCGTGTCCCCTGCTGTGCCACCGTGTCTTCAGTGTCACCATGTTTCCAGTGTGTCACTGTGTCTTCAGTGTCACTGTGTCCCCTCCTGTGTCACTGTGTCCCCAGTGTGCCACCGTGTCTTCCGTGTCACCATGTCCCCAGTGTGTCACCGTGTCCCCTGCTGTGCCACCGTGTCCCCAGTGTGTCACCGTGTCTTCCGTGTCACCATGTCCCCAGTGTGTCACTGTGTCCCCTGCTGTGTCACCGTGTCCCCAGTGTGTCACCGTGTCTTCAGTGTCACCGTGTCTTCCGTGTCACCATGGCCCTCAGTGTGTCACCGTGTCTTCAGTGTCACCATGTCCCCTGCTGTGCCACCGTGTCCCCTCCGGGGACCCCCAAGGGACCCCAGGTGACCCCAGGTGACCCCCCCCACAGACGGAGCACCCCTGCAAGTCCAAGGTGGCCGTGTGGCACAAGCTTTGGGTGCTCTGTGCCCTTTGGGGTGCCCTGGGGGTGCTGTGGGGGCTCCCAGGGGTGCCCAGGGGGTTTGGGGGGTGCCAGGGGTACCCAGGGGGTTTGGGGGTGCCCAGGGGTGCCCAGGGCGTTTGGGGGTGACCCCGGGTGACCCCCCCACAGACGGAGCACCCCTGCAAGTCCAAGGTGGCCGTGTGGCACAAGCTTTGGGTGCTCTGTGCCCTTGGGGTGCCCTGGGAGATCCTAGGGGGGGTTTGCGGGTGCCCAGGGGGTCCCAGGGGTGCCCAGGGGGTCCAAGGGGTGCTCAGATGGTTTGGGGACCCCCAAGGGACCCCAGGTGACCCCAGGTGGCCCCCCACAGACGGAGCTCCCCTACAAGTCCAAGAAGGCCGTGTGGCACAAGCGTTGGGTGCTCTGTGCCCTTGGGGTGCCCTGGGAGATCCTAGGGGGGGCTTGGGGGTGCCCAGGGTGTCCCAGGGGGGCCCAGGGGGTCCAAGGGGAGCTCAGATGGTTTGGGGACCCCCAAGGGACCCCAGGTGGCCCCCCACAGACGGAGCACCCCTACAAGTCCAAGAAGGCCGTGTGGCACAAGCTCCTGTCCAAGCAGCGCCGCCGCGCCGTCGTCGCCTGCTTCCGCATGACGCCGCTGTACAACCTGCCCAGGTGGGCACGGGGGCACTGGGGGCACTGGGGGCACTGGGAGGGCACTGGGGGGCACTGGGGGGGCACTGGGAGTGGGGGTGGGCACCCTGAGACCCCCTCAGGGGAGCTGGGAATGTCCTTGTAGGCATTTCAGCCCCGCTGGGTGACACCTGGCACCCCGTGGGTGACACCTGGCACTCCCTGGGTGACACCTGGGAGCCCCTCGGTGACACCTGAGACCCCCCTGGGTGACACCTGGCACCCCGTGGGTGACACCTGGGACCCCCTGGGTGACACCTGGGACCCTCCGGGTGACATCTGGGAGCCCCTGGGTGACACCTGGGACCCCCGGGTGACACCTGGCACCCCCTGGGTGACACCTGGGAGCCCCTGGGTGACACCTGGCACTCCGTGGGTGACACCTGGCACCCCCTGGGTGACACCTGGGAGCCCCTGGGTGACACCTGGCACCCCCTGGGTGGCACCCGGGAGCCGCGGGGGGTGGCTGTGCCCCCAGGTGGGCACAGGCGGTGCCAGGCTGGCTCAGGTGACAGCGCTGTCCCCAGGCACCGGGCCTGTAACATGTTCCTCGAGTCCTACCGGCTCTCGTGGCTGGCCCGGGAGCAGCCGCCCTTCGAGGACCGCATGATCGACGACCTCTCGGTGAGGGCCGGCTTGGGGACACCACCGGGGGGCTTGGGGACATCCCCGGGGGGCTTGGGGACAGCCCTGGGGGTTAGGGACATCCTGAGACCCCCCTGACCCAGGGTTTGGGGCGATGACCTCTCGGTGAGGGCCGGCTTGGGGACATCCCCAGGGCGTTTGGGGACATCCCCGGGGGGTTTGGGGACAGCCCCGGGGGGTTTGGGGACAGCCCTGGGGGGTCTGGGGACATCCCCGGGGGGTTTGGGGACACCCTGAGAACTCCCTGATCCAGGACATCCTGCAGGGTTTGGGGACATCCCTGGGGGTTTGGGGACACCCCCCAGGGTTTGGGGACACCCCCGGGGGGCTTGGGGACATCCCCGGGAGGTTTGGGGACACCCCCGGGGGGTTTGGGGACACCCTGAGAACTCCCTGATCCAGACCCCAGGTGGCCCCCCAGGGACATCCCTGGGGGTTTGGGGACACCCCCCAGGGTTTGGGGACACCCCCGGGGGGCTTGGGGACATCCCCGGGAGGTTTGGGGACACCCCCGGGGGGTTTGGGGACACCCTGAGAACTCCCTGATCCAGGACATCCTGCAGGGTTTGGGGACATCCCTGGGGGTTTGGGGACACCCCCCAGGGTTTGGGGACACCCCCGGGGGGCTTGGGGACATCCCCGGGAGGTTTGGGGACACTTGGGGACACCCCCGGGGCTCTGGGGACACCCCTGGGGTTTGGGGACACCCCCGGGGCTCTGGGAACACCCCCCGGGGTTTGGGGACACCCCCGGGGGTCTGGGGACAGCGGGCCCCCCCTGAGGCGGGTTTGGGCTGTGGGCGCAGAAGTCGGGCCGGGGGGGGGAGGAGGAGGAGGAAGAGGCGGAGGCGCGGCCGGACCCGCTGCACCAGCTGATCCTGCACTTCAGCCGCACCGCGCTCACCGAGCAGAGGTGACCCCAAATCCCAGCGGGGACCCCGAACCCCGAGGGGACCCCGAATCACAATGGGGACCCTGAACCACAATGGGGACCCCAGACCCCGAGGGGACCCCAAATCATACTGGGGACCCCGAACCCGAGGGGACCCCGAACCCCGCGGGGACCCGGAACCCGAGGGGGCCCCGGACCCGAGGGGACCCCAAATCCCACAGGGACGCCGAACCCCGAGGGGACCCCAGACCCCGAGGGGACCCCGGACCCGAGGGGACCCCAAATCCCACAGGGACGCCGAACCCCGAGGGGACCCCGAACCCCGCAGGGACCCCCTGAGGGGACCCCGAACCCGCGGGGACCCCAAATCCCAGTGGGGACCCCAAACCCTGAGGGGACCCCGAACCCGAGGGGACCCCAGACCCTGAGGGGACCCCAGTATCCAAGGGGACCCCAAATTCCGAGGGGACCCCGAACACCGTGGGGACCCCAGACCCCGAGGGGACCCCAAATCACAATGGAGACCCCGAACCCTGAGGGCACCCAAACCCTGAGGGCACCCCAAATTCCGAGGGGAACCCCAAACCCTGAGGGGACCCCGGACCCCGAGGGGACCCCGAATCACAATGGGGACCCTGAATCCCTGAGGGGACTCGAAATCACAGTGGGGACCCCAAATCCCCAAGGGGACCCCAAATCACACCAGGACTGGGATCCAGAAACCCCAAATCCCACTGGGGGCACCCTGAATCTCCAAATCCCACTGAGAAACCCCAAATCCCCACAGAGGAGACCCCAAATCCCACCCTGGGGGGGGGGGGACCCAAACCCCCTGGGGGAACCCAAAGCACACCAGGAGGAACCCCAAAACCCCAAATCCCACTGGGAGAGACCCCAAATCCCCAAATCCCACTGGGAACACCCAAACCCCCACAGAGGAGACCCCAAATCCCACCCTGGGGGTGGGGGGGTGACCCAAACCCCCTGGGGGAACCCAAAGCACACCAGGAGGAACCCCAAAACCCCAAACCCCCTGGGAGAGCCCCCAAATCCCCACAGAGGAGACCCCAAATCCCACCCTGGGGGTGGGGGGGTGACCCAAACCCCCTGGGGGAACCCAAAGCACACCAGGAGGAACCCCAAAACCCCAAACCCACTGGGAGAGACCCCAAATCCCACTGGGAAACCCCAAATCTCCACAGAGGAGACCCCAAATCCCACCCTGGGCACCCCAAACCCGGGTTGGCCCCTCAAGGGTGGGGGGAGCTCAAACCCCCCGGGCTCACCTGGGTCCCCTTTTGGGGGGTCCCCCGTCCCCAACCCGTGTCCCCCTCCTCACACCCCGCAGCCACCTGGAGCAGGATCACCTGTACATGGCCTACGCCGGCATCATGGCCAAGGTGGGCACCCCAAAACCGGGGCACCCCAAAAACTGGGGGGACCCCAAAACTGGGGGGACCCCAAAACCGAGTTACCCCAAAACTGGGGGACCCCAAAACCGGGGGACCCCAAAACTGGGGGGGATCCCAAAACCGGGGGACCCCAAAACCGGGGCACCCCAAAACTGGGGGGGACCCCTAAACCGAGGTACCCCAAAACTGGGGCACCCCAAAACCGGGGGACCCCAAAACCGAGGAGACCCCTAAACCGAGGTACCCCAAAACTGGGGCACCCCAAAACCGGGGGACCCCAAAACCGAGGGGATCCCAAAACCGAGGTACCCCAAAACCGGGGCACCCCAAAACCGAGGGGACCCCAAAACCGATGGCACCCCAAAACCGGGGCACCCCAAAACTGGGAGGACCCCAAGAGCTGAGGGCTCAGGGGTTGGGGGTCCCTGGGGTCATTTTGGGGGTGGATTGGCCGGGATTGGGGTGGGGTCTCCAGGGATTTTGGGGGGAACCTGAGATGGAGAGGGGGTCCCTGAGGTTGAGGGGTTCCCAAAGTTTG